AGTCGCAGCTGACCGATTTACCATGTTGACCAATCAGAGGGGGCCAGTCGAAGTCGACTGTTGACCACGTTGACGATTCAGACAGACGCCAATCGCAACCGCCGCCTTGATCAGATCGACTAATGAGAAAGGCGCCATTCGCAGCAGATAGGGAATTGACCAATCACTGTCGCCCTGCAGAGAAGATTGAGCTTCTTAATCACCAGCTATCTACTTCACTGCAGCACCACAGCCCCTAATCTTAACAACTTTTCTTCAGCATGCAACAGCATTATGCAACAAGACAGCCCCTCGACAACCACACCAAATTCAGCATGCAACAACACAGCAACTTCTTACCTCAGTGCAACTTCATTTCCACCATGCAACAACAAAGCCGATCACTTGCAACAGCACAGCAGCATTAGCTTGCAACTTCCCACCGTGTAACAACAAAGCCAATCAATTGCAACAGCACAGCAACTTCTCCTTCCTCAAGTGCAACTTCATTTCCAACATGCAACATCAAAGCCTTGTGCAACAGCACAGCAACATCAATGTCCCCAGGATGTAGAGCTGTAGCAAGTCCTCTTCTCTTTATTATGAGTTACTCATATTCAATATCTTATCAACTCCTTCCACTTCCAATACTCAGCACACGCTGCATTTCTACCTCTGCAGCTAGCAGGTACTCCCTCACAAAATTGCAGCAAGGTAGTCAGTATGCAACATCACAGCGTTTCGATATGCAACATCAGAGCAACTTCAGTTGCACCATACATACAGCCACTTTTCTCCACTATGAGCATCACAATTTTTTAGCAATCTCACCAACATTTAGTCAGCATGCAACATCGTAGCAACTCCTCCTTACTTATCTTTGCAACATCAAAGATTTTACTGCCTTACCTGAAGCCCCACAATCACTGTACGTCTTAATCACAACAGCTTCTCTCAGCATGCAACAGCAACGGCTCTGTACCTAATATGGCAAGCTAACTGCGCTTACGCGTATCATATTCTATCTCCCTCTCTCTTAAACTCATTACGGTAAATTTTGCTTCGATTTGCAACAGTAAAGACTTCAACAACTACACATTTAGTATGCAACATCACAGCAGCTTCTTATTCCTCACTACAACTTTAACTCCACCATGCAACATCAAAGTCGATCAAATTGCAGCAATACAACAACACCAGCTGTCTAATAGTGCAACATCAGAGCAACTCCAGCTGCACCATGTACCACAACAGTAGCTCTCCTCTTTCTGTCTGCGTCACAGCAACTTTTTCTCCGCTATGCAACATCACAATTTGTTAGCGATCAATAACATTCAATCAGCATGCAACATCATAGCAACTCCTCCTCGGTTCGTTGTATACAGGGTGTCCCAAAATAATGTATCGAACGTTTG